TATTGTGGATGTGCAGCAGAGATATAGACACCATCCAAGAAATTCTCCTCTGCTGCTGCCAGTTTTTTGGCACGTAACATAAGCTGTATTGTGGTACAAGTAAAACTCATAGTGTGGGGAAGTGAATCTAAGAAGATACTTGTACGTTTAGCATACAGGACAGAAATGCAGAGGCACAGAGTCACTCAAGCGTGCTACAAAAGAAGTTTGTGTTTGCAGACTCAATTCCTTCATGACAGGCTCATTAAAAGTTCTTGGTGCCAAACGCTGTTTCTTTTCACCTTCAAAACTGTCTGCATTAGTAAGGAGCAACTCCACTTGGAAGTTATTTCCATAAAGCGTTGTTCCTGTCAGCAGTGCAGGGCTAAGCGAGGGTGGGAGGGAGAGCACAGACTCAGTAAATGAATTCAAGGGCTTGATTTAACATGTTGCTTAAAAATATTGGTGTAGTCTAAGATGGTATGGCACATTCTGGATGAAATCTAGCTTAGCAGGACTTGACAGTAAGGGGGATTTACTTCTAAGTTAACTCGGCTAACTGTACTTTGCAAGCCTAACTAGTTGCTATTTTTAAGAATACTATCACAACCTTTGTTGCTCTGTTTAGTGTTTTGAGATTTTCCATCCCCAAAAATGCAATTTTATGTGGAATACAGGTTCTTCTAGGGTCAGCTAGCTTGCTATTCCTAAGTGTTTCTACTTGCACAGGTGGCTATTATGTTATACCTCTCTCTTCCTCTTGGAGCCTTGTTGTCAGCAGCTGGTATGTTCCCCATATGCTAAGACCTCCAGTGGTGTGGCAGTTCCATACTAATAACGAGAATCTGTAGGGAATTTTCCATAACATTAATAAAGGGAGGTTTCAAGGGAGAAGCACAGGACAAAAGCTGGTTCATGTGGTTACTGTAAAAATAACTAGCATATCTTCACTTTCAGCTTTATTGTACTGTCAAGTTCACAACTTTAACTCAAATGAACTGCCAGGGTAACCTAGAATTGTCTATTTCCATACCATTTGGTACATATATGATAAAGGAGAGTTGGCCAAATACAGACCAGATTGCTATCTTCACCCTGAGCCAGAAACGGGTATTTTTCACTCAATCTATACCTCTACCATTCCTCTTTCACTGCCTGTAGGTATAGATGCCCTATTCAAGATCTTAACTGGTGGAAAAGTTTTACTGGTCATTTTTGCTATCAAATTTCTGGCAAAAAGCAATGAGTTTTTGTAATTTGAAATTATACATATCAGGATCTGGAGCTTAAAAAATGTTTGCAAATATCTAATTTCAATTATAGGTGAAAAAATTAATTAAGAAAAAATGGTCAGAACCGTGGGCTGTTAGCCAGCATGCTGTTTGCGGTGCTCAGAAACTGGATAATTTCTAAATGGCTATGTCAACTAAATCTTATTATTCTGTGATTTGATATCTAAAATCTGGTGCCTGTTAAAAAAAGATTCACTTAGATAGGATCACCTAACCAGCAACTAATGGAATTATGGGAACTTTATTAAAACCAGGATTCATTAAAGTTAATATCATATTTGAAAATATTTCTTGCAGCTGCTGAGACCCTTTTTGTTTTGTTTTGACTAAGATTTGTAAAATACCTCTTTTTGTTTTCTGCACATGGAACTTTTCATAGAGCATTCCCTCACTGTTATGTATTCCCTTCTGCTTTTCCAGTCTACTTCGTTAATGAACAGTCAGTTGTTCTTACCAGACATTACTTAAATGAATGGAAATGCCCCCAAGACAATGTATGTGTCTTGCTTTCTGCCCATCAAAGATGGAAATGAACTGCCGTGGTTAAAATGCGAGTCAATAATAAGTCAAATTTTATTCTTCCTCAGGCTTCTTCTATTTAGTTTGCTTAGAAATAAGCATCAGTCAGTGCAAAATACAGATGTTATATTCCAGAATTTAAACATAAAAAGATGGTAATTCAATTAATTCCATGCTCTTGCAAAAAAGGCTAAGATAACGTAGCAGCAGCCAGTAACAATACCTGAATTGGAAAAGGTTTTCTTCAAATACAAGTACAAACAGTACCTTTGAATAAAATCATAGTGATTTACAGATATAAATGTGATGAAATATGGAAATTAGTTCTTTTCTGTTCAGTTTTTACATAAGAATAAAAGCTAATAAACAGAGAGAAAGGCCACTTACATTGTTGCATTATCTGTTTCATATAAATTAAACCATTGTAGTAAAATGTAAAAACTGATATTAAAGTATTTGATGTTTTTAACATACTGTTTCTCCTGATAAATGGTATTTGAGTTCCTTAACAGTTGTACAAATTTCTTTACGACATTTATTAATATATTCTAGTCAGAATAAAATGGAGATGCTTATGAATGTGTGGAACACAATTTTTACAACATTGCTTACAGATATTCGGGTTCATTTCTTACATGATCATGAACACTCTACTGCATAATTTGTACATCAAGACAGTTAAAATTTTAGTTGCTTACTTAAGGTAAGTCAATAGCAAATAATACTAATATGAGTGTGATTATTGATGTTTGAAACTAATGAACTCCACTTTATTCATGGTCATCCATGCATGCCATATGCTGAAATACCATTTTAGAAAATCTTCTTTTATATCATCTCATTAACATAGCATTAGCTACAAGCACATATTAGATACCTGTATTGAGAACAACCCTGATTCCTTCCCAGATTGACCCAAACCAAATGCCAAGGTCCAGAAGAGCATCTCCTATCCCAAAGTCAGTCAGTGTTTAGATATTCATCTGCAGCTTAATTTCTCTTTGTGTAAAATTATTTAAGAATTTTTATATTGAATTGTCTTCTGCTACACTCACCTTTTTGTTCTCTGTAATCAAGAGTGCCAGAGTCCACACTACGTACCTTTCAGACTGCACAGAAAATAGTTGGTATCTTGGATAGGAAGCCTCACTGACTTACGACTTCATCGCTAGGGCTGTTTGCTCTTATCTGCAGATAGGCTTCAGTGGAAATCACCCACAGCAAAATAAGATTTGCTTCAGTAGCAGTGGGCTCCTGCTTGTCATACCATCATATTTCCAATCATACTTGTCTCTGGCTGATAAACAAGCAGATAGACACTGACAAAACTTGTTTGAAAATTGTATCTCTTCTGTACAGAAAGGCTGTGTGTTTGCTATAGGCCATATTTTCCTTCTGTCCCTCCCAGCTCTTTTCTCTAATATCCAACCACATAAACAAAGCCAGCAAAACATGTGAGAGCAAACCTTAATCCATTCATAGAAAGAAATGGTTTTAAATAATGACAGATGATATTTCTTCTGCTAACAAATTATTTTACTCAACATTTCAATGATACTCTCCTCTCATTGACAGACTATGGCCTACTGAGGAAGAACTAGCCTCTGAGTATCAGAATATTCACTGGCTTAGAGCAAGAGTCTTAATATTTAGTAATACCACAAGAAAATTTGGGAGCAGTTCTGCTAATACAGCAATCCAGCCTCCAGACAACAGTTGGTATAGGCTTAGGCAGCTCAGAGTATAAGCAGGAAAACTTTAGGTCTGTCCAGCTTTTCCCACAGAGACATAACCTAACCTCCTGTGAGACCTGTAAGAGTCTAACTTCTACATTAACTTTCCATCTTGGACCACTAAATAGCAGCTGTAATCCAGAATTAACAGAATCCATATATTTTACCTAAGACCTTGTTTGGTTTCAGTAACTGTCTTGGTTAAGTTTCTTATTCTAGAAGTGGTTTCTGATGTACATAGAATCTCCTTTTTTTACTTTATTATTTTATTAGATAAATTATATAGGTGTATTGATGGAAATAAGTCTATTTTTCTGTTTTTCATGAGGCAGTAGGTTCATTAGCCCAGGAACCATTTCAGAAAATAAGTCAAATAAAACATTGTTTATCACTGGTTATTCTTCACTCTGTAGGAAGACAAATTAAATAAATTTATCTGTATTGTAAAATAAACTATTTCTTATCCACTCAAAAAATCTAAAATAATGAAATTAAGTTTCAAAGTCTGTTAAAATTGAATGTGCGCAGATGATATGTTACGCAGTTACATGATTGCACTGAAATGTTGTGTGAGTCTTATCTAAAGCTTTTAATGTTTATGGTTTAAAGATATTAAATAGGTATGCTGGAATGGGAAATAGTTATGGTTTTGCTATATCTTAGTTATTGCTGTTGTCTCACAATCATAGAGCAGACAAGGGTGGTTATGCTAGACATTGCATACAAATGTAGTAACAGGTAGTCCCTATCCCAAATTTTTTTTCATGGAAATAAGTAAAGCAAGCAGTAGGAGAAAGGAAGACTTATATTTGTTACTTCAAAGGAAATTGAAATAGATACGAGAATGAAGGAGAACACTGGTCTGAGATAAGGGACAGATAGCAAACTTCTTTTTTTTGTCAGATATAATCCTTGTTTTAAAAACACTGCCCTCCAGCTCTTGTCAGCAGAGATCTGTATTGGTGCTAAAGTTGACATGAGCACCAATGACTTAAAGTCACAAGAACAGAACCATTAGACATTGCCTTTTTGGTCAGGATGCTTCTGGACTTCGAACCATTCCAATCTTATAATGAAGATCTTCAGAATGCTGTTTTTTCCCAGCATTGTATGCAGGACATCCCTCTGTCAAACCAGGGAGGAGCAGAAGACAAGGTTCTTACCCATGTCTTAAGCCGAGTGACATGAATCAGTGAATGACTCGGATATATGACCTTACAGAAGTCCATGCCTTTCTGCTTGTTTCCACTCTCACCTCATGACAGAATGGATATCTCTATCCTATTATGATCCAGTATAGATTTATCCTTTTTCCTGTTATTCTCCATTTTCTTCCCCTTGATTAGTTGTATGAATAGGATTCTACGTGCAGGGTTGTACAATAACTGTGTCAGAGTTGTTTTCCTATTTTAAAAAAAAATATTTTCATTTCTCAATTTATTTGCAACATATACAATTTTGTTTGTTGTTGTTTCAGGACACAGCAGGTCAGGAGAGATACAGAACAATTACCACAGCTTACTACCGGGGTGCAATGGGCTTCATTTTAATGTATGACATCACAAACGAAGAATCTTTCAATGCTGTGCAGGACTGGTAAGTAAAATTCGGAATTCATATTAAATAGCACAGATAATATTTTACATTATTCACCTGCTGTGACGGTGTAAATTATTTGTAAGAACTTATTTCCAAATACAGTGCCAAAGCATTCATATACCCACCACTGTATACTAGTGGGTGGTTATGTGTGGGGTTTTTTCAAATACAATGAATACTTTTAAATGTATGGCATATAATTCACTGTAACCATTGTGTTTTCTGTGATCTTGGTTAATGTGCATTATTCGTACTACTAAAACCAGCAGCATGCTAGCATGGAGAGTAACTGTTAAGATACCAGAAAATATTTCCATATTTCATACAAAAAAATGAGATACTGTGTGTGGGGGTTGTCTTTTACTTTTTTATCTTGTTGCTTTTAACTATAGCTGGTTATATATTGTCTGTCATTCTTGTCTCTCAAGTGTAGAAACGATGAGCAAACTTCATCAGAACAGCAGAACCAAAAATGGCTTGTACTTATATTACCTTGTATTATGTGAATTCGTCATTCATTCATTATGTGAATATCAAGATGTCTCCATAAAAGTGCGTCATCTGAATTATCTATGGGTCAGTCAGGATCCAAATCTTAAGGCTTTTTAAAATGAAAGGGACCCAGAAAGAAACCCAAGAGTTAATCTTGGTGATATCTTCACGTTACAGTGCTGTGAGTGATAGGAATAACATTCATCTTGTGTGCCTCACGTGCTCTCTTCCAGACTGTTCCCATGGGAGAACTGTGTATGAGAGAGGATTCTGTTCAGAGTTTGTGTGATAGGCTCAATATGTTTCTTTGGCTCTTTTTTAAAAAATATTTATTTTAATTTATGCACTACTGTGTACTTCTTTCAGGACAGGCAAGGTCAGAAACATGTTGCACATTTAATGTAAAAGGCAGTGATGCTGTGATGCCTGTTTCTAATGGGAATTGTTGCCCAGCCTCAGAATCTCTGAGAAAAATAAAAATTACTCTCTTTCACACTCTTCAACTTATTATTGTGGTAGAAACTGTCACTGAGCACATGAAACACGTTCCCTCTCTACACCCTGAGTTTTTCTTGGTCTGTATATGCTAAGCCTAGTCATTCACAACTCTGAAAATAAGAACTGAGAACCTGAGCTTGATTCTGCTCTACAAGAAATGTTGCCTGTGTAAACACTTAGGGATGTAGTCATTCATACTCCTCCAGTGGAAAGGGACAACTCCAGAATGAGTCCCACCTTCTTCTTTCCATCAGTTATCTGTACAACTCCACACCAAATCGCTCTTATGAGCATCTCCTTCCCTGTAGTAGAGAATCAATAAGCTTTCATGACTAGTATAGACCAGACAACTAGCTTTTGGACAACTTAATATGTCTGAGGGGAGTCTTTGCTTGATACTCAAAGAGGAAAACTCAAAGAGGCCACTGTGGCTTGTTACGCTAAGGGGATGTTCTGCTGAGTTTATACACACTGGAGGCTTCATGCTGAGTGCTTGCTGTCAGGCATTTGTAAGTACTGCTCTGTTCGACAGCATGAGACAGAATCTCCTACCTAACAGGAGGCAGCTGAAAGTGTTCTTCATAGATGCTGCTATGTGAAAGTTTAGCAAAAATAGAGAATCAAGGAGTGCACCCAACCTCCTGGCTGAACCTGCTGGTGGCTGACAGCGCCACTGTTTCCTGGGTCTGACAGCACTTCCTTGCTTTGCCTCTGCTGTTCTTTTTCCATGGGCTCATTCTGTTCAAGCACTGAGTGATAACGGCTGTCTAGGACCAGCTGTAATCTGCAAATCTCATTGCCCCATCTCTGGGCAAACCAGATGGCATGCCGTGTATTATCTACCTGCCTCCAACACAAAGGTTTCTTTATAGGAAGTGTACATATGAGTACCTATTATTAATTTTCCCACCTGTTTGTTTTCCAGCCTACTAGATCTGTTATGGTTGGCACGTTTTGTCTCCTGGTGAAACATAACTTGGCTTCATACTAATTTAAAAAAAGGCTCTGCAAAGTGAAATAAGAAAAAATATTAAAAGCTATGGAGTTCTTAAATAGGTTTGTGAAAGACAATTTTTCCCGTATTTTTATCTAGAAGCTGTACAAACAATAGGCAGCTACTACAGAAATTGGGTGGACAGGAGGGATTGCATTATTATGTGCCAAGAGCTACTGAGCAGTCATCTTCATGATGAAGAGGATGACAGAGAGACAGAGTGCCTGTGAGGAGGAGACATAAATTCATTCGTTAGTTTTATTTTTAATTTCATGAGCCCAGTTGCTGTCCTGCTGTTCTTCCTCTGTTTTATTGCTCCCATCTTGCAGCTGATACTCGATTTTGGTTAGCCCATACTCTGATTTTGATAGTAATAGCAAAACTACAGCTTGCTTCTGAATGTGAGAGAAGTTAAACAAAACTTGCAATTACCAATACTGCAGAAATACCAGCATGGATATGTGCATGTGTCTGTGCATTTGTGAAAGATATGAGGGGAGGAAGCAGGAGCTTTTAAGCCTCTCTGGGGCTTAAAATGCTTTTCTCTGTGGTAAATGTGCCTCTGAAGGCAGTGGTTTCATTTTGTCTACATGCATAATGGGCCAAATTCAAGCTGAAATCACATCAGCTTCAAGGCTTGGTATAGAAAAAGCATTGCAGTCAGGACAATAAATCTACAGGTGCCTTTTCGATTTGGATAAAGGAGTTTGGTTTAAAATGTGTGTTGGGATGATTTTTTAAAAGCAGTCAGTTCAAAGCAATAGTACTCTTATTGAAAGGCATTTTTTTTCACTCTGAAGCCTGGCTGACATTTTTCCTTTATAACAACAGATGGATACTCGTATTTCTAGATGCCATGCCTAGGTCACCATGAATCTATTCAACTGCAACAAATTCTATATCTAATTTGACTATTAACATTTTACATTTAAAAAAAAAACAGTATCTGTAATTTTATCTAAACTTATTAGCACAAATGTACGTAACAGTTTAGCACCCAGTCATTTGTCCAATACTCTGTGAGACTGAGAAAGGCTTTCGTCTAAAAGGTTAGTGAAATCACTTGAAGGTCCAATAAATTTCAACCATACTGCAGACACTTCAGGAAACATTAATCTTCCCTTCCCTAATTAAAATAAAAAGACCTTAGAGATTGCAAATCACAGTAACAAAAAAATTTATAACCTAAATTGAGATTTTTTTTTGATAGTCAAAAACTTTTGGCATAAGAAATCTTGAATTGGGAGTTCTGATAGTTCTGTTATGTGTATACCCAGTGATTTATTTATTTTCAGTCTCATCTAGGGGTGATGCTAAGAATATAGTGCCAGTGCTTACGTTCTGTAACTGTTTGGTCACTTCAGAATTGCTGCATTCTTGGGTATGTCAAACTAACCTGTGTTCTCTATGTTCCCTGTGTGCTTTCACACATACTACAACAGATGCTGCTTAAATTAGTCTAGTTTGGCAGACACTGACCTAGAAAATTGAGAAGTCCTTAATAATTTTTTACCACTTGGACATTTTTGTACCTATAGACTTTATCAGCAGTTAGTCTGAATATTTAAAACTTTGATAAAAAAATTGAAGAGTATTTCTCTTCAATTTTAGGTCAGCCTCTGAATGTGTTTCCTCTGAAGTGGCAGCAGTCACAGCACTGAGCAGTAATGTCCTTTATAGATAAAGATTTTCAGAAGTTCACAAGGACCAACAGTTTCCGTTTTTATTCAGCAAGACTGGATATGTGCTGAAAATCTGGCTGCTTGCAGAAACAGCAAATCAAACATGCTCTGACTCAGCAGATCTCTATGGAGCTCTGCCGAGACTTTTAGCCTGCCTTTTCCAGGAGCCTTTTTCCTTCAGAGGTGTAGCTAATGTTGCAAGTGCAAGGTGCATAGCTTGCAGTAGTTTGGTGGATGCTGGTCAGAGTATTACTCTTTTACACTACCACCTGTACCATTCAAGTTTGTTACCCTTTTCCATCATTGCATTTCACTAGTAGCTGTTGTGCCCCCTTTCCTCTTAGTGGTTTAGTTCACGTAAGGTGTTAGCATTATAGCAATGGTACCTTGCAGTAGAAAGGACAGGGTAAAAGCTTTGGAATATCTTTGCAAGTGCCATCAACTCAGTATGTCGAGTTCTATAGAACCGACGGGAAAATAAAAGCCTCTAAGTTGAAGTTAAACCCATTTTTATAAATGCAACCTTTCTAGACCTATAATGACTGAATTGGAATCAAGGAGTTATTTATACTCAGGCTATTTTAATGCTGTGTCTCCAACTAGGTCAGAAGCAGCAGGAACTTAAACCATGATCTAAAAGTCTGAAGTTTTATGGTCTGGGTTGAAACCCTAGACTTGAAATTTCTCTAAGTCTGGAGGCTATAGAGGGACAGAGAGCAGATTGTGTATTGTTGTTCACACTTGCTTTAGGTTGCTCCTCTGCACCTGAAAACATTGTCCCAGCTTCAAGTGTTTATCCAGCAATATCTTTATCATTGGTGACTACAGAGCTATGCTATAGAGGGCTTCCTTGTGCAGGAATTAAAAATTTGAGAATTCCACATTGCTGGTGTCTCAGACTCAGAGATGCTTTCTTGGGAGAAGCCTCCTGCCTTCCAGAAGGCTGAAGGAACCTAGGAGATTTGGAATTATTTAACTTTTCAGGCGATCTGTGTTTTGAAAGTCTGTCAAGGCCTACAGCCCCCCCCCTCATCAGTCTGCTAAAGCTCATCACCTTAAAGAAGGAATCAGCTGGCAGAAGGTGCATAAACTGCCTATTTTATGAAGGAGACAGAGGCTTAGGACACAGTGGACAATTTGTGATTTTAAGAACTCGTGTTTACTTCTGGATTTCCATAGGAACTATTTGCAGAATTTAGCACTCACCAATATGGTTGGAACAGCACAAAAAATAAGTTAATTTCAAATTAGAGACAACAGAATGAAATACTGATTGCGCTTCCTCCATCTGTGCCCATGGGAATTGGGGCTGGGCAAAGACAATAGAAATG